GCTTAGAGGCTGGGTGTTCTTGCGATACCAAATGCATTTCCCTACACCACCAACCAGAGTAGGAAACCAGAACACCCAGAGGGAGAAACTTGAGACTACCCATGGCGCAAGTCTGCCTATTCTGCCTTAGCCCACTACCATTGGAAACCGCTAAGTGTTATTCTGCGGATGCGATTCGCGGCTGACGGCGGGAATCCTGACCAACGGATTGGGAGATGCGGGTGTGAACACCGAGACGATTGGCTCGGAGCGCTATCATGCCTACAACGATGAGCGGCTGATTTGGGACCTGCACTTGAAAGGGGATGTCCACAAGCGGATGTGGCAAATCCTGGTCCTCCCTTGGCGGAAATCGGGCAAGGCGGCAGCGGCGGCATCTATGGAGGAGAGTGTCACCGAGGAGAAGCAGCAAGGTCTGCAAGGAGAGGAGCTGATTGGAGGAAGCGCGGCGGTGAAGGCGTCGGCTACCTCGGGCCAAGCGGATTGGGAGACTTGGCATCGGCGGCTCGCACAAGCGGCTGTTTCTACATTGGAGGTGATGCATAAGGAGAAATGCGTGCACGGCCTGCAACTGCAAGGAGATGGCGCTCACTATGGCAGCTGCGAGGCATTCATGCCAAACAAGTTTGCACGGTTCCCGTTTCCACGTGCGGAGGGATCAGCAAAGGCGCCACTGGAGGTGGTGCACATGGACCTGGTGGGTCCTATGAGGACTGAGGGGACTGGGGGAGTGCTGTACTTCCTCACCATGGTGGATGAATGGAGCAGATTCACATTGGATCATCCCTTGTCCAAGAAGAGCGATGCTGCAGCGGCGATCAAGGAGGATTGGTTGCTGATGGTGGAGCGGCAAGCGATGCGGCTGGTGAAGTTGCTGAAGAGCGATCGTGGTGGAGAATTCCTTGGGGCGGAATTCACCAAGTTTCTCAAGAGGAATGGCATACGGCACCAGCTGACCTTCCTTGGAACACCGCAGCAGAACGGCATTGCTGAGCGCGCCAACTGGACCATTGGTTAGGTGGCTAAGACTCTGTTGGGGGCTGCCATGATGCCCTACAAGTTCTGGCCTGATGCCGTTTGCCATGTCATCACGGTCAAGAACAGGGTCTTGACACATGTTGGCGACAAGCATTGGGTGCCGTACGAGCGTTGGCTTGGGAAAAAGCCATCTATTGACATGCTGCGTGTGTGCGGCTGCATGGGGCTTGTGATGGTGCCTAAGGAGTAGAGGCACAAGCTGGAAGTTGCTGCTGTGTGGGCTGTCCATCCGGGGATGGCTCCTGACTCGAAGGGGTGGCTGATGTGGGAACCCAAGAGCAAGAGGACGTTGGTCAGTCGTGACGTCAAGTTTGTGGAGGACGTCATGTACAAGGACTGGCAGCAGCAGAAGCAGGTGCAGATTGGCTTGCGTTTGCATGAGATTGAGCGGTCTGCAGTGGAGGAGGTTCAGCTGCACCTTGAGGATCTCCCTGGGTCAGAGCTGACCAGTGACCACAGTGGCGGTGGTGAGTAGCAAGGTGCTGGTCCTGCTGCGGAGGAGGGGTTGGAGAATGAGTCGGCACGTGTGGACTCACCAACTCAGCCCGGGCCTGCTGCAAACGCCAAGGTCACCAAGAGGAGTGTGCAGAGAGGAGCTTCACCACATGGGCAGCAAACTGCAACCCGCGAGAAGAGAGTGGCAGCAGCACCCTCAAGGCTGAAGTATAGCCGTTTAGGAGGACCCAAGCAAGGTGCCATGGCGGTTCAGGCGGATAAGGGAGAGGATGAGGAGATGGCGTTCTGTTTCTTCACACCCTTGCCGGGAGAACCAGCCAAAGTGAAGGAGGCACTGAGTGGACCCCACGAGGAGGAGTGGAAGGCTCCCATGGATGCAGAGCTCAACAGACTCATTGAGAATGGGACTTGGGAGCTTGTTGAGTTCCCGAGGGGCGATGGCCGATCAGCAGCAAGTGGGTCTTCAAGGTGAAGAGTGGTGCTGATGGTGCGTTGGAGCGGTTTAAGAGCCGTTTGGTCGCCAAGGGGTTTCAGCAAAAAGAGAAGGTCGACTTTGGGGAGATCTTCGCTCCCGTTGCTAAGCCAGTGACACTGAGGACTTTGATGGCTGGCGCAGCTGTGAAGGGATGGCACGTGAAGCAGATGGATATCACCACTGCGTTCCTCAATGGACTGCTGCTGGAGGATATCTACATGGCACAGCCCGACAGCTATGAGGATGGGACCAGCCCGGTGTGCAAGCTTAAGAAGGCCATCTATGGCCTTAAGCAAGCGCCCAGGTGTTGGTACGAGAAGTTGGAGGAGGTGCTGCTGAGTGGAGGCTTCAAGCCGTCCCAAGCGGATCACAGCTTATTTCGGCTTGGAGAGGGGGAGCAGTTGCTTGTGCTGCTGGTGTATGCCAATGACATATTGCTGTTCTCACCTTCCATGGAGCAGATTGAGAGGACACAGAAGCTGCTGATGGACAATTTCAAGTGTAAGATGCTAGGGGATGTCCACTACTACTTGGAACTGCAGATTGAGAGGGATGTTGAGAGGAGGTGGCTGAAGGTGCATCAGTCACACTACATCTCTGGTGTCATGGAGCGGTATGGTGTGACTGTGGGTCGCACTGTGATGACACCGTTCCCTGCGGGCTTCAAACTGAAGAAGGCAGGTGAGGAGGATGATGTACTGGAGGATGAGTAGCAGAATGAGTACCAGTCATTCATTGGGAGTGTGATGTATGCAACTGCACATACACGACCTTATGCTTGATTCGGAGTGGGGCAGCTGGCCAGAGTTGTGCAGCGGCCCACTGAGGAGCAGTTGGAGGTGGCAAGCGCTTGGTGCGCTACCTCGGATCAACGGCATCTGCTGGTGTTCAGTTTTCAGCTGGCGGCCAACTGAAATAGATTGGAGCAGATGGGGTCACGCCTGGAACCTTGAAGCTGTCGTGCTTCACCGACGCTACGTGGGCCTCAGAGGAGGAGGATCAGTCATCAGTTGGCGGCTTGGTGTGCATGGTCGGAGGTGGACCAGTGAGCTGGACGTCCAAGAAGCAGAGTGAGATTGCTCAGTCTTCCGGAGAGGCAGAGTACATGGCGATGTACCATGCCATCAAGGAGATCGTGCTTCTGAGGAAGCTGTTGGAGGACATGGGAGCTGAACAGCAGGGACCTACACCACTTTTCTCTGACAGCGAGGCTGCTATTGGCATGGCCAATAATCCTATCCTAAACGGGCTGAACAAGCACATGAAGATTAAGTGGCATTGGCTGAGGCAGATAGTGAAGGAGGGGATTGTTGAGCCTCACCATGTGAAGGCTACCAAGCAGGTGGCAGATTTTCTCACCAAGAGACTTCCCGAGAGTGCACATTGGAAGTGTGCAAAGATGTGTGGCATGGCATTGCACTAGTGTGGGCAGCAGTATCATGAGTGCATGTGTGATTGTGTGCATGAGAGTTTGCATATGTGTGACTGTGTGTGCATGCAGTCCGTTAGTCTGAGGAGGAGTTTGTCGGATGCACGTCATTCTAAGTGCATGTCATCCTAACGTCCTGCCGAGTGCTCGTGCTATTCATGCGTGCATTGTGTGCATGAGCATATGTCATTGTGCATGGCTATTGGATATTATCGTCTCTGTGTTTTTCTCCAAGTTTAAATGCTTGATCATGCAGGAAAAATTCAGAGCTTTTCAACGATACCAAGATCGCCTTATTCCGACCAAGATCCCCCAAGTTACAAGATTTCCAAGACTTGGATTTCTTATTACCTTTTGGGGTTATATCTAATTTGGGTGATTACTTGGGACATGACTATAAAGGAATCTTTGGTTGGGTGGTTAGGGAAGGCAACCTTGACTTTTGGATTGGGGTGGCTAGAAGTTTCTAGCATGGGTTGCAAATGTTGCAACACCTAGGCAAAATCCAACTAGTTTGGATTTTGCATGTGACACCTCAAGGACCTCATGATGAGGGTTGCATCCTTGCTGCTAGGAAGGTTCCTTTCATCCTTCCCTAGCTCTTGGAGAACCCCTTCCCTCTCATGGTTCTCTTGGAGTCCCCAACTCCAACATTCTATGCTCTAGTGTTTGTACTTCCTCCACCATTCTAGTTATGCGGCTGCTGGACGTTTCTAAAATGTTCTCACTCTATATACCATCTTAACGGCTGATTCAAGTTGGAGATGGTAGCTAAGCATAAAGCGCAACTTCCTACCAAGCGGATTTGCGTTTAGTTGAGAAATGAGTTCGTCGTAAGCTCTCAAAGAGACAGATCCTGAACAATATTATTTTCCTTTATTTTTGTTGGAGGTTTAGTTCATTAGTAAATTAATGGTTGGTATGTATCTGTTTACATTATAACAGTGTAGACAATAGGCGTTGGGATATATTAGTTATAGGGCGCCCCTTGAGTGACTTAAACAAGTGCTAGGCACCCCAAATTCGGCTTTGGGACACCTCAGCACATTTCCCAACCTTGTCGATACGACTCCAGCCTGGACCCACGAATTTCAACATTGGAAACACGGCTCAGCTTGGAATTCGTGGTTTTAGTTCGTGGAATCGCAGTTCCACTAGAGGGGGCGCTTTCAGGCCCACTTTGAAGGTCCCTCACGTCCCCATCTTGACTGTGGGCGACTTGAGCACCCATTTGGCCACCAAAAGTCCCTTGGGTGCCAAATTCTTCACCTGGACCAGCCGAAGTCGCCCCCAAGCTAGCTCTCTTCAATTTTTGCCTATTTTAGCCTTTATTTTGCTTTTATTCAATTAATTTTTTGTTTGTAGAACCTTTTCAACATTTTTGAACCAACTTCTCCCTGTGCACATTGTGCACATAGGTCTGATTTGCCATAGTCATCCCCTTCAGTCGTTGTGACTGATGACCGTGGCAATGCTGTTCCCTCACATGCCATTCCCGAGGTCCTACCGGCCTTCGTTTGCTACAAATTGAAACATGATATTCACTCTCCTCCTCCCTGCCCCCCCAGATTTCCTCCCTTGCAGTCATTGTGACAGATAACCATGGTAACGTGGTTCCCTCACATGCCATTCCTGAGGTCCTGGTTCCGTGGGAAACTAGAAAGAGGTACATCAGCATACAGGTGGGTGAGGAGGCTATGAAGGGGGGCGAGGAGGGATTGTGAGGGGTTGAGGAGAAGGTGGAGGAGGGGGTGATAAGAGGAAATGAGAAAGTAGGGGAGAGAGGTGAGGGAGGCGCAGAAGCAGTAGCAGAAGGGGCAGGAGCATGAGGAAGAGGCGGAGCAGGAGTAGCAAAAGCAGAAGAAGGAGCAGCAGTAGAAGAAGCAGCAGCAGTAAGGCGTGGTGGTGTCAGTGGTATTGCGTGCCAAGGTACCACCCCTCGGTTATGCCACCTTCTTCCTCACCCCAGTCTCCCCTCACACCTCCGGTGCTGCAGTCATAAGCATCGAGTGGCAAGCACGTGTGCAGACGGGAGAAGGAGACGAGGAGTGGGGCAAGGGGGACGAGGCGGGTGCGGGGGAGGAGGAGGGAGGACAGGGGGAAGAGGGCAAGGAGGGGAAGGAAGTAGGGGAGGAAGAGGGGGTGGAGAGAGAAAGTGTGGTCGAAGAGGAGGATGAAGGGGTTGGTGGTGCTGATTTGATTGTGCTGGGAGGCTGGGATGGGGCTGCTGCTGATGCTACTGCTGCTGGTGCTGGTGCTGCTGGTGCTAGTGCTGGTACTGCTGGTGGTAGTGATGGGGAGGGTGGAACCAACTCTGGGAGAACAGTGCTAGGGGCTTCAACTACCATGAGTGCCTTGCGAGTGTTCTTCTCCAAGGCAGGATATGGAATGACTCGCCTGCAGCTGATTGGCCGCAGTGAGGAGGGAAACGAAGCACTGGTAAGAGAATATGTGCTGCTAATCGATTCTCGTGCACTGTTTTCTATTTTCCAAGAGCGTTGTTGTCAATTGCCTCTGCTTACTCACTCATTGCCTTTGTCTGACTGCGATTTCCACTTTCTAGCCCTCCTTGGATCTGTCCATCCATGCTCTCTTGCGTTTCTCGTCAGAGCATCCTTCCTTTTGGTTTTTTTAGCTTTCAGATAAGCAAGTGGGCACAAGCTAGGGTGTCTACATTTCAAAGCACGTGCGTACATGGGAACCTGCACCGAGAAGACACTTTTTTCCTGCTCTCCCCTCTTGCTTCCTCCACCTCCCCCACTACTCTACTACACCACAACCCTAAACTCCTTGCAGCATTTGGTTCTTCTTTATTGCCCTTTTCTTTCCATCCATGTCAATCCAATCCCGTCTGTCAATGCCACTCTATGCCACTCCTGTCCGATCGTACAATGTACACTTCTCATGAGATGCCACCCGCCCGCCCCACACTCCACCATATCATGGCAGGAAGCATGGGTTATTCCTACACGTTTGGCAAGTATCCCCTGAGTATCACGAGCAGCGCCTTGGTTTTCCTGTGCGTTCCGAGACACCTTCAACACTACTTGCTCAATTCAACTCATAACTTAGCGGTGGACTGCATGATGTGCAGTTTATTGCCATGTGACTTGCTGCACTCTGTACACCTTTTGCCACCTCATCCATTGCCTATCCACCTTTTCATCAGTACAACCTGGAAGCGCCTCCAAAGCAATACACCATGGGAAGAAGTCACGTATATCACGACACCAGACAACTCTTTTTGCCGGCAAACTTGATGCTTCCCAAGGACGTTAAAGGGATCATACTTCAACCAAGCGGTTGATGCATCGCCCCCGTTCATTGCCTCGATGTGCCTCGCAAGCACCCTCAAACACCCCCTCCCTTCCCTTCCCCTTCTCTCAACTCTCATGACATGCATGCATGCATGCACACCACCATCCATCACCATGCCAATCTGGGTCGAGAGTTGGTCACTCGCTTTGTTTTGAGATGTCTCAAACATACTTTACCCCATGCATGCACCTCCACATGCACGCCATGCCATCCCATACACATCATCATCAGGTGGGCCCAGTGCACACGAAGCCCAATACGGCTCGAGAGGTGGTCACTCGCTTCACCTCCTCCCTTGCTACTGCCAGTGCACTCTTCACCGACACTCAGGGCCGCGACTACCTTCGACGAGTGAGACTACCTTTGAGAAGCATGAAAAAATCTCGGGTAAGGAAACGAGAATTGAGGTGCCACATAACTCTTCCCTCGCCATTGCCGGCGCAATCTTCACCAACTCTTAGGGCCACTACCTACACCGGGAGAGGCTACGTGCACCGAGAGAGGCTACCTGCGCCGAGAGAGGCTACCTACAACAATGAAAAGATTTGTCTTGAGATGCCTTAGACAAGTCCTTTCTATGTGCCAAGCTGCGCCGTGCTACGGAAAACCATGGCAGTTACCTATGCTCCATCTCTTTCATGCCCCCACGCCCATCAGGTGCGCAATGATTGATTGGATTGGAATCCCATCGTCCACTAGCCTATCGCACTTTCAACACATCCCAGACTCCCATGCTCCCTCCCCCATCCCTCACCTCACCTCCCCCTTACCACCCTCCCATGCCGCCACGCCCATCAGGTGCACAATTATTGGGCGGATTAGAACCTCACCGTCTACCAGCCTATCGCTGGCAACTTCTACCCTGTCATTCACCGCTCTCAGGTGTCTGGGCGGCATGCATGGGTGGCGTGTTTTGGCAGCAGGTGTGGGTGGGCTCATGACTCGTGCGGGCATGTCCATGCGTGGGGGGGGGGGGGGGGGGGGGGGGGGGGGCGGGTGGGCGAGCATGTGCGTCTATGCAGTGCAAATGGTGGTGTTGCATTGCATGGTCGTACAGATAGGTGGCATAGCGGTTTGCATATTGCGTGATAGATGTTTGCATGCGTTTCGCGTACAAGTTATCACAGGCTACCGTGTTTCATCTCACATTTTAAGATCATGTTGCATGCAAACAGCTTGTTACATGTAAATAGCTTGTTACATGCAGACAGCATGCCACATGCAGACAGCACCACATGCTGATAGCACCACATGCTGACAGCACCACATGCTGACAGCACCACATGCTAACAGCACCACATGTTGATAGCACCTCATGCTGACAGCACCACATACTCACAGCATGCCACATGCAGACAGCATGCTACATGCAGACAGCATACCACATGCAGACAGCATGCCACATGTAGACAGCATGCCACATGCAAGCAGTGCCACATGCAGACAGCAAGCCACACTTTTATGCTCTGCAACTATGTTCAAGGGCTAGGGCATGGGTTTCTCACACTCGCCTGCCCTAGACCAACGTGTCCTAGGTTTCTTCTGTCCTCCTCCATCCTTCTTCATCCTCCTTTACCCTCCTTCATCCTCCTCTATCCTTCTCTCTCCCCTCCTATCACCTCCTCTGCCCTCCTCTTGCCTCCTCTGCCCTCCTATCGCCTCCTCTGCCCTCCTCATCCGCAGCTCACAGCAGGGATGTTCATTGCCGACAGCACCGCCCAGCTCTCGCCGCTGGTTGGTTTTCAAGTCCTCTGTGCATCGTCCATCCTCCCTTGCTTCCCGATCCTCCCATGCCCGCCCACAGCTTACAGCAGAGGCGTTCATCGCTGACAGCACAGCCCAGCTCTCACTACTGGTGGACCGCCCACTGGGTGCCGCCAGCCTAACAGATGGGCAGATCGAAGTCATGCTGCATCAGTGAGCATTGGGGGGACGTGTGCATGGCTTGTCGTGAAGCAGCAGGACTGACAGCATCATGGCTTATGAGTCGACTCAAAGAGCCTTCCTGCTGGTGGACCAATCAGCCACTGGGGGCGGCCAGCCTGGCAGACAGGCAAATATATGTAATGCTACACCGATGATCATTGAGGCGGCGTGGGTGTGGCATGTGGTTCAGTTTAGGCATGGCTTCCCATTCTGCTGCGGTGAGGCCGGGAGCGTGAACGTCTAGCGAATGCCCTACAAAAGTCCCACAGAAAGTCAAAGGCAAACTCACCACCTCTGTCAGAGTGCAGACGCAGGACGGGAAAGTCTGTCCCGAACAGCGCGCGGAGCTGGAGACGGGCAGCGCGGATCCTATTAACGGGAATAGAGTGTTGGCCGCGCCCTCGCTTGGGCAACGCCGACGACTTGGTCGGATGTACGGGAGTAGCAGCCGACCGTTCACAGTGGGAGAGCTGCTCGACAGGCTTCGTCGAGCTACAGGGGACCGCTGTGGTGTTGCTGTCGACCAGGGAGCTCGACAGCTGCAACTGACTGGTCTGGGAGACGAGTGGGACGTCGACCAGAACCTGCACTTCAACCGGGAGGTCGACGGAGCAGTCTTTTGACCTGACAAGTGAGTAGCGGTTGACGAGGGGAGCTTGTCGACAGCCGCTGACTGCTCCGGTCGACGGACGGGTGAGCTCGACGGGAGTTGTGGTTGACCAAAGGCACCTGGTGGTCGACCATAGGCACCAGTGGTGGTCGACCATATGCACCAGTGGTGGTCGACCGGAAGCAACTGGTGGTCGACTGAGTCGACCGGGTAGCCTGCTCGACGAACTCTGCGGAAGCACGCCAACGTCGTCGAGGATGTGATGGCGCAGGCGACTGCGGGCTGGTATCCCGGAGTTGATGTGGATTGTCAGGCGCAGACAACAGCCGATGGATGCTCAACGAGGCAATTCGGACCAATCGTCTGCGCGCATCTGTGAGCCTGCACACTGTTGTGTTCTACAGGGCAACGCTGGACAGCCATTCTGCTGCAACGTTGGCAGGCCGTCGACCTGCTCTATTGGGAGGTCGCCCTTCTGCAGTGCTGGCACGACTCCTCTACACAACGCTGGCAGGCGGTCGACCGAGCTGCGCTGGGGGTCGACCAGGCTAGCAGCAGGGTTGCTAGGTGCCAGATGTAGTCATTGTTGTCATTGCTTGTTCAATCATTCTGTAATTTTGACTTTGCCAAGTGAAAACTCTTGCCAGTTTCTCTCGTGAATGTGCAAGCACTAAGGAACTAAACAAAGCTACGATCACTCCTAGTATTTCGTGCCAACCCCCGTAGTCTAGCTCACTACCGTTGTAGGGTGACTCTGTGCAGATCCAAAGGATCAAAACATCAGGGACCTCACCCTTGGTGCGCAAGGGGAAGACCGTGGTGTAACGCGTGTAGACGTCAACGACCAGCTAGAAGTACCGCTCGCGGTCCTGTCCATGAACGCGGGCTGGGCCCCACACGTCCATGTGGAGGGTCTGCAGGGGAGCAGTCATCGGGGGAAACGAGGAGGAGTGAGGGGCGGCGCGCTGCCAACCCTCGACACAGGGAAGACATGGAGGCGCAAGCGAGGGAGGGAGGGGAGGGAGAACCCTGGGAAGACCAGAGACAAGGATACGTCAGTGCATGCCACGAAGGCGCTGCACCGAGGGGTGACCAAGGCGGTGGTGCCAAAGGACAGTCTGGTGCGACAAAGCGCGACACGAGCAGGGGGCTGCTAGCTGACCTGACGCAAGCGAAGACGCAGACACAGCTACCTGAGGGGACACTGTAGTCAGTGTGTACAGACTCGAGCCAGGCGCTCGGGTGAACGTGGCCAGGTGCCGACCAGTCCGGGAGCACGTACAGTGGGTCACACGCTCACCTCCAGGGGTGAACTAGTCAACCCACTGATCCTGGAGGTCAGCTCCACTCAGAAGGTTCGTAGAGAATGAGGGAAGGTGGAGACCCAACAGTGAGAAAGACGGGACAGCTGGACACGGCACGAGCGTGGAGGAGTGCGCAAGGACGGGGGCCTCTGAGGGGTCCGCCAGGGAGACTGCAACTGGCCGACTAAGCGGCGTGAGTGTGGTGCTGTCGCGAGAGAAGGAGCGTGTGAGGATCTAACATCGAGCTCAGGAAAGAGAGTTTGAATTGAATTGAATGATCACCTGCATACAACACGAGGCTATATATAGGCTCGACACAAGGACTCGTAACCAGGTGTTACGCGAAGGTTCCGAGGGTCGCGAAGCATCCCGAACAGATCCTTCCCGAATCCGGTAGAAGGCAATTTGGTGGCAACCCAAAAGCCCAGAATTCGGTGCACGCAACCTAGCTCGGTGCTATAATTATAATAAAATATAGGAAAGCACCTCGCCTAGGAAATCAAGCAATTCATGCATGCATATAATTATCCTATGCTAGAAATAGCATAATAAAATATAGGCAAGCAAGCATAACTGGCATAAGCCGTCGTACTCTCACACGTCCCCCCCTCAAAGCTGGGTGGCGTGAGATACACCCTGCTTGACAAGATAGTCCTTGAGAGCACGGCGTGCGTTGCCCATATCAGCTTCTGCAACCCAACTGTCCTCAGTGGGGTTGTATCCCTTCCAGCGGATCAGGAACTCGAGGGTCTTGCTGCCGCGGCACCGATGAGTGAGAACACGTTCCACTTCGTACTCTGGTTCATCCTGGATGAGAACAGGTGATGGTGGCGGTAGCTGCTGTCCTTGGAACTGTTGGCTGGGGTCCTTGTAGGGTTTCAGTAGCTGGACATGGAAAGCGTTGTGAAGCTTCCATGTATCTGGAAACCGCAAGCAGAATGTAACTCGTGTCACCTGTGCCTCAACGAGAAAAGGACCACAAAAGCGAGGCCGAAGTTTGGATGGGAGGTGAGACATGTTCAAGTTGCGTGTGTCAAGAAGCACCTGTTCTCCGACTGCTACTGAGTGATCTCGTCGTTGTCGATCGGAATAATGCTTCTGGGAGGTCTGCATCGTGGTGAGACGTCGCTGAGTCTTCTCCCATAGCTGCTGCATGGTGGTGACGAAATCATGTGCGGCTTGGACGTGTGCCGGTGTGGTTGGCTGCTGAGGTGTGAGTGGTTCCTGTCCGGAACACAGGAAGAAAGGAGTTTTCCCTGTGGCCGCATGTGATGCGTTGTTGTAAGCGAACTCTAGGGTCGGTAACTATGTGTCCGAGTGGTTGACGTCGTCTTTGCAAGCTGTGCGCAGTAGCTGTTCAACCACTTGATTGAGTCGCTCAGTCTGTCCATCATTCTGTGGGTGGTATGCTGAAGACATTGCAAGTTTTGTCCCCAACAGTCCCATGAGCTCCTTCCAGAACTTACTCGTGAATTTGGGGTCTCTATCTGAGATGAGTGTAGCGGGGATGCCGTGGATGGTGATGATGTGGTCGAAGAAGAGGCGAGCAGCTGCTTCAGATGTAGCTGTGGCGTTGGTCGGTTTGAAGTGACCCATTTTGGAGAACTTATCGATTACTACGAGGATGGAATCGTGCCCCCGTGAGGTCGAAGGAAGTCCTGTGATGAAGTCGAGGCTAACGACCTGCCATGGCTGCTCCGGTACGGGTAGAGGTTGAAGTAATCCTGCTATTTTATGCTTGTTGCTCTTCATCCGCTGGCACGTGTCGCATGAGGTGACAAACTGCTGCACGTCTGCTGCCATCCCGGGCCAGTTGAAATACTTCGGTATTCCAGCTAACGTCTTGTTGCTCCCAAAGTGTCTCACGTATGGTACGTCATGAAACTTCTCCAATAGGATCTGCCATAGCGGGGCGTAGTTTGGTACCCAAATCTTTCCTGAACCCTTCCTTACAGCTAAGTCTTTCTCCCACTGTAACAGCTTCTTGGTCTGTGTTGTAGCGATCTCTGCGTCCACGGAGTATCCATGCTGGAATCGACCCTTGAGCAGAGGGTTCATCCCTTCGAGCTGGATGCCTGCTACATGACCAAGGCGGCTCAACACGTCTGCTTTATTGTGTAGCCCGGGCTTGTGGACGATGTCGTAATGGAAGTGAGTTTCCAGAAAGTCCACCCACCGCACCTGTCGTTGAGAGAGCGACGGCTGCGACTTCAGATATTTGAGGCTGCAGTGGTCAGTATAGACTGTAGTCTTGGCTCCCTCTAGGCAACACCTCCACGCCTTGAAGGCTATGACTATCGCTAAGGCTTCCTGGTCATGGATGGGGTAGTTCATTTCTGCTCCGTGTAGCTTCTTACTCAGGTAGGTGATGGGCTGCAAACCGCGTCCGGGATCCTGCATCAGTACGGCTTCGACTGCCTGGTCACTAGCGTTTGCTTCCACCATGTAGTCCTTATCTGGGTCCGGTAAGATGAGTACTGGCGCTGTAGTGAGTGCTGTCTATAGCTGCTCCATGGCTTGCTGATGAGGAGTATCCCATTTGTAGGGCGTATCCTTTTTCAGTAGGTCGGTCAGTGGCGCTGCTATCTTTAAGTACTGCGGCACGAATTGTTGTAGTAGTTGGCGAAGCCTAGGAACTGCTGCAACTCCTTCACGTTCTCTGGTACTTTCCACTTCTTGACGGCTTTGATCTTCCGCGGGTCCACGTGTACGCCCTCGGCACTCACCATGTGCCCGAGAAACTGCACCTTCTTCAGGGCGAAGTCGCTCTTCGACAGCTTCACGTAGAACTTGTTTTTCCGCAAGATCTCGAACACCTTCCGCAGATGCTCCACGTGCTCCTTCATGTTCTTGGAGTAGATAAGAATTTCGTCCAGGTACACCACTACGCACTCTGTCAACGGAAGTTGTGTGTTGGCCCCGTCCTGCTTGGGCGGAGTCGACTTCGTGGTCGGGTGTGAGGGGAGCAGTCCACCTGCAGCAGTGGGCGAGCTGGTTGACGAGGAGGTCGACCTGCACGGGGGCCACTGCATGGGCGCCGGCTTCCAGGTGGCGCCGACTTTAGGGAGGTCGACTTGGGAA